AAGAATATCGATGCAGATGTCGCTAAAGACATACATACCGTCGATGTTTTTGCAAAACCGCCCATCGACCAGTTGCAAAACCGCCTAAATCGCCGTTGTGGCAAAAATGAGACTTCGTAACCCTGAACTCCAGGCATCGAGATTTATGGATAAAAATCGTAAAATCGTTATTAAAACAATATACATATTTTTGAAATAATAGCTAAAGAAAATGCCGCCTCTCAAAGCACTGCCTTCAAAGAAAACCCGGTTTTTCGCTCTCCTGTAAAATTTGAGATCCTTGCGTAAAATTTACGATCCGTAAGATAGGCGGGTTTGCAATTGGGCGATGGGCGGTTTTGCAAAAACATCGACGATATGTATGCATCTTGATATTTAACCATCAAATGGTTTTCAACTAAATTTACTGACAGTAGCTTGTTTAGCCTCATTTGACCTTCGTTGGTTATACAATTTACTTTATACATATTACATACGCAATGATATCAAGTTCAGTACAAGTGATTTTTTACCTACGCATGCATTTATATTGTATAACTTTTCACTAAATTTCATTTTAAATTTATTGCTGAATTTCTGTTTAAAGAAAGACTTAATTTATTACATGCAAAGTCAGCTAAATAATGTTGTTGATTCGTTGCATTTTTTAGTGGTAAGTTTTTATTCGTGGGAGATAAGCAAAAATAATTGCATAAATACTTAGCAGGAAGAGTAAAATAAAATTAACATTTTCGGATTGACAAATTACGTAAAAACCAGTAGCTAAAAAAATCGTATTTTGCCAAAGAAGCGTAAGTGGTAAATACTAATATTAGATCTCTGTAATTGTGAATATTTATTTAGAGGGATCTAGAATAAAGCAAATAGGTATTGCTCAAGATCATTTTACGAAACCGTTTTGTTGTGATTGCACATTTTTTATTTTAAGTTTCGCTTGAGTTGCCGGATGTAAATTTTTTTTCTGCGTGTATTTCTTGGCCGCAACAAGATAGTGATCTGAGTCAATGTTGGAGCGTACCGATGTATGTATGTACGTCCAAAACACTGGAAGCGTGCCTTGCGTCTAGGGATGGCAGCGATTGTTCATTTGAAATTAACTGATTATTTTTGTCCAATTTACGATTTAATTGTATCGTAGTTTTGTGTTTCACTAATCGATTATTAAGTAGCCTACAACGAATTTTTTATGAGACTTGATGGGAATATTCACCAAAATTAGATGTTTCGGGTTATTTTTTCAATGGCAAGTGCTCTATTTGTCATCCTAGGAAGGAAATGGGACATTATACTAAAGTCAACCTCTCGACTTAAGCTGTTATGGCTTGTGGCCACAGATTTCTTGCCTCACAACACCCGGCGTATTTATTGGATAGCGGTGATGTTAGACTTAGTTGCCTTTCGGACATCAACCAGCCACGCAGAGAAACCTTCCCCATTAAGAAGGGTTTAAAAATCCCAGATATCATCAAACCATATTCTTTTAAGTGTTCGCCATGGGTAGCATTCAAGGAACGGGCTACAGGCAAGGCTTTGTTAGAACTTTGATTTATGCGGCGGGTAATAAGACCCAGCGCACAACCTGAACCTGGGCGAATTTTTGATTACACGTTTATATAGCGAGGCGCCAGCTACCCACACAGATGCTCGCTTGTAGCCGTATCTACTGATGAACAGACGCTGTTGACTTTAGCGAGCCCTTAAATCGAACAAGTCGGAGTGGCAGACTGCACTCCTAATACCTAATCATGTTTATATATTCATGGATGTCCATAAGTATGTACATATGTACTTAGATTCTGGAAATCTCCTTATGTATGTATTTATCGACAGAATTAAACATGTACATACTTTAATTATCATCTGAAGTATCAACAATTGGGGATTTTTTTGTTATTAAGCAAATGCCCACACTATGCACTGGCGCACACATAAACATATGGGCATTTCCTAAAACGAGACAACCAAAAGCAAAAAATAAAAACCCATCTGGACCAAATTTCATGAAGCCAATTGACAGCTGAAATATACTAATAGGTACAACGATTTACAAGATTAGCGATTTGCAAACTTCTTTTTCTTTATATTCTTTGTAAAAAACATACTTCGCTAATTAAGATACAAATTCATAAAGAATTAAAAGTATATCTAGTGATTATGTACGTCTTATGCCTTTTAAATTCCTTATCAAAAATTATGCAAAAATGTGTTACAAATGGTCTTAAGTTAAAAGTTTTGGTCACGTTTACTTTATTTGCTAAAATTTTAAAATGCTCATCATAGAAGAAAACAACCTGGTTGATGAAAGTACTACATCATCAGCGTAGGTCATTACTTTTACTTCCCCTTTGGTTGAGCTTGACTAGTACTAAGTTGATAGTGGTAGGTCATAAAATTGGAGAAATCACTCCACCCTGAGGAGTACCCCTACTGACGTTCCTTTTTGGCAGCTTCCCATTACAGCTGAAATCATTCTACTGCAAAGCATCGCCATAAATCATGAGTTTATAGCCTCCTCCATGCCAAGCTCGTCCAGGGATTTTTGAATAGCTTCTACACAGACATTGTTAAAGGCTTCCTCTATGTCGAGGAAGACTGCATTCGAGTGCCGTCTCAACTGTTCTGACCGCGAGAAAGATTCTAACGCCCATAGTTAGCTATGTAATTAATTTTTACATACATTCTCATATGCAGCGACTAAGAATAAAACCCATATTTGAATAAAAATATCAATCCCTGCGACGAATTCTTTAATAAACATGAGCATTTCTGTTCACTGGACAACATTAGAACGTCCGAATAACTTTGACCCGTTTTTGACAAGTACTGAACACCTTTATGAAGTTAAAACTACCATGACGGCAAAGACTGCTGACTCATCTACCAACGACTCATACATCATTGTTTCGTAGCTTTAATAGATGAACAGAATTTTATAAACTTTGTCAGCTGATGTACATACATACTTGAGGCATGATTCAATAATATTTAATTTTGAATCATGCCTTTTAGGAACGTCCTTACAGCTATTTTTAGGCGCCCTAAACTAACTAGGGGATATTTATGGAAAACAGTTTTACTTGTGTTGGATGTAGGAAATTTGTGACATTCAAACAAAATGTTTGGATCCAAAGCCTACAATTGTTTTTATAATGAAAGTTATCTCCGCATGGAACGTCCGTAACGCAGGAAATGCCCATATGTAATTATTTATACCTCGCATCTCTTGGTCTCATTCACCTTTCTCTGTGGTCGCAGCCACTTCAACTATACCGGCAGGCAAAAATCGAGAACAATTCAATACACACCTCAACAAAGCTTGGCCACATTATTGCAACTGTCGATCCACGAGTAACTACATACATACATATTATCTTTAGCACGGTAGAAAGTGGAGAAGGCAAACAGTCAGGTAAGACAACAAAGCCAAGGTAGAAAATACTTAAAAAAATATTTAAGACTGCGTAAGATAAAACCTCATAAGAAATAAGCAGATAGCAGAAAATGCAGGCCAACCAAATCGATATTGCACGCAAAAAAAAAAAAACAATTACGAAGAAGACAAAGTATGGACAAATTCGATTAAATATGGGGGGACAAGCGCCACGACGGCAACAATCGACACACAAGCCAACCAAAGTGCCATAAACCATGTATCCCTGCAGCAATTCAGACTCGCCCTAGGTTAGCCCTCAGATAGTCCCTATTGTTACCAGCACTACTCCCTTATAATTCCCCTGCCTATGGTTTCAACTGCCACTTTTAGCATTGGCGTGTCATTGGAAAAGGACCGGTCCAATCAACACTGACCGTAAGATAGTCCCAGACTAGTCCAATTTTGGAGATTTTTTTCGTTAGAGTAAGATTGCGTTCTGCACTTCGCAGATGTTTGTTCATAATTCGGAAACGCAGAAAAAACAAATTTTATCATTTTATAACCATGTTGCTTCTGACGGCATTTTAACCCGGACCCTCCAGAAAGCTAACAAATAGTGGCAAGTATCTCTGCGCACTGAGCCACGCATGTAAATGTGTGTTCAAATGTTCACTTCGCATCAAGGCCAGACCAAGCGATTGGGACATTTACAGGGTGGTGTTCTTTAATTTTTTTTTTATTGAATTGCAAGACAACACTACCCTGTCACTGCCGAACTGTACTTTTCGTCTATCTCTAGGCCGGTTCCTTGGGGACTGGTCGAAGGCTGAAATTTTCGATGCCAGCAAATGTCCAATTCTGACCAGTCAAATTTTAACCAGTGAAGTACTAGTACTTAACGGAAAATTGGCCGCCTTATTGCTGCAGGAATTCATCTACATACATATGTATTGTAATATATTCATATTAGAGATGGGCGTGATATCGGGACCAGCGGAGCCCACGGGACTAATTTCAAAATGGTCGGGATGGGCGGTATCGGCAAGTGAAAAAAATCCTTTCCCGACATTCCCAATAAAACCCGCCAGATCTTTCAGTATGCCGAAAGTAGAATATTCGGTAAAAATATATTTGAGTACATACATATATGTTTATGAACATATATATGTTATTCACAATTTGTTTGAGAGCCATAGTGATAGATATGAGAACCCACGGAACGCGCGGTACAAATCTAAAAAAGACGGGATGGGCAGGTCCGGGTCCTAAAAATTGAATGTCGTGATGGGCGGGATCGGGATTGAATATTTAGTCCCGGGCGCATCTCTAATTCATACAAAGCCGCAACGCATTAGCTGCCGCAGCCGCCATCAAACCAAACGCTATTCATCCAGGCAGTCAACGAAAACAAGCAAAAGGCAGCCAGGTCACGCCGGACCAGACCTCAGCCGCCGCATGAAGATTTGCCAGCAGCCAGTAAGTCATCAACAAACGAACGTACTCGATAAACCAACAACGTATAATAGCAAGCCTGCCAGCGAGACAGCCGATCAACTAAGCGATCACTCAGCCAACTACTACATACATACAGTACGATCCAAGTGGCAGGAGATGTGTAGGGGGAAGCGCACCTTATAAATACCGGCACTGTTGTTCTGTGCGCTCAGTTTATATTGAACGGTGCTATAGAGAACAACTCATATAAAACTAACGAAAAAGCTGATAAAGCGACGAAACACTAAACATAGATTTCAAAACATTCGAGAAACAACATACATACATATTGCAGAAAGAAAAGAAAATACATACAAATTTTATAGAGACTTGTAAGCATTTCAACAGAGTTTTACCTACTAGTATTTTGCAAGAAACTCCTGCCGTATAATTACGGTGATTAAATAGTGAAGACAGTGTTAAAAGTGTAGTGTAAAAGAAGACAAAAACCAATTTTGAAAGTCTTCGTGAAAACTGCAGTCGGTGACAATTTCACGCTACTAGCAAGACAATTCATCGTAAAAAAATAAACAAAAATATATTTTAGTGATTTTCTTTTAATTATTATTATTGTTTTTAGTGATTTTCTTTTAATTATTATTATTTTTTTTAGTGATTTTGGTGTAACATTTCACTTTTGGGTGGAAACTACAAAGCAAAAAAATGTTGCGAGGTAGCGTTTTATTGCTAACACTACTAGCCATATTCGGCTATCTACAGGCGTTGCCATACTATGGAGAGTAAGTACACCTTAGAAAATTTTACATGTAAAAAATATATAAATACATATGTATGTGCATACCTTTGTGCATTGCAATAGCGGCAACATGTGCAACACAGATGTGTGCAGCACTGGAAAAAATAGATAGGCCACGCACATATACATATATGTATGTATGTAGTCCATGCATAAATATTGCGCTATGTACATGGGTATGTATGTACATATGTATGTATGTATGTCGCAATTTATATTTGAAGCACCTACATAAAACGATTTACACAGTTTGCTTGTTTATTGGTAAGACCATCAGCAGAATCATAATTGCATTTTTTCTAATCAAAATTTCTACTCTTCTAAATACATATGTATGTATGTATGTATGTACTAGATTAGGGCACACAACTCTCCATACAAAAAAAATCGGTACAGTTTTTCCACCGGACTTATAAAATTTATTTCATTTGAAGACTTGCGCAAAAATATTTCGGAAAAATATTAAGATTTACGTGAACTGAACCGATTTGAAAATATGTACCTCTAAAAATCAAGCATTCTATAAATAAAATTAGTTCTTAACAGTGTTCGCTATTTTTTTTATTCAGTTTACAACAATAACATGCACTACAGAATAACAATGTTTAACCAGATAACCGGGCAAGTACACAGTAAACTTTGGCACAAACAGTTTTTTTTAACTTATTTATTTTATTTAAAAAAGTACTCGATTTGTGGAGGCACCCTAATGTGCATATGTATATTATACATACATCCGTATGTATGAGGCTATCATGCGTGAATAATATGTATTTCTAAAAATATACTATATGTAGGTACACATATACATATGCATATACCTTCACTTACCTACACCACATAAGTATGTATAAATGTACATCATCGTTTGATTTATTACTTCTAGTAATTTCTCAATTAACGGTCATGCATGCAGCAGCCATCATTTCAATTTAAAGTGAAATTACGTTGCAAGGCAATTGAAATGAAAGCGCACAGTTGCAGCAGATTTAAAGATTATATAAATATGTATTTAAATGCATTATGAAAAGTGCAGTAGCTTTTTTATATTGAATTCTTAAATTGGCAATAACACTTTCCAAGTCTGTCTATATACATATATATGTATGTACAATTATTCACTCTAACTCAAACGCGCCGTTTGGATGGGATTGCCCACTTCACAGCTGTCAGTCAATCTAATTGCACTAACTGTTTAAAAAAATCGTTAAATAAGTTTCTAACGCCGCAAAGAATTCTAAGTAGATACATGCATACACTTAATAGAGTGAATCTCACCGGTGTTTATAATTATAGTACAAACGAGCATTAAAGCGAATGAGGAACAATTTAGGTAGATACTGTATTAAAGTGCAAGCATGTATGTACATCCATATTTGTTATTTTGTCGTTTTTTTTTTCGCTCGCAACATTTTAGTACATTTCTGGTTTTAAAACTCGATGTGCCATACATTTCAATTAAAATAAAGTATGTACTTTGAGCAAAAAATACAAATAAAATAATAAGTGTTCAAATTACAAATACTCATTTGTTTTTCTAAATTGTATTTTGCGTTTTCGTGATTCGCGTATTTTGCGATTCAATTTGAATTTTTAAGTCCGCATACATACATACATATTAAGTTTCTAAAAATTCGAGAAACCTAATGAAATAAAAATTGTTAATTCCACAAAAAAATAATGATTAAAACACACGCTAACACAGAGCAACAAATTCTGATTCTTTTGGGGATAATTCGAGTTTCTTAGGTTTGTTTTAGTTAATTTTTTTTTGGTTTTCATGCTTAAAAATTCGTTTGCTTTTTAAGCAAATCTTCAAAAAAAACAGTTGCTTAATTGAGTGCGTTGCATTTTCTGTACTCCAATTTTTAGAGGGAAGGGTTTGAAAACTTAACTTTGGTCACTTTGCGGAGCCGAGCAATAAGTTCCCGTCGACTTTATAATAATACCCAATTATTTATTTAACCACTTTTTCATAGTAGCTATAGTTTACAGGTCCGCCAAAACCCCCAGAAAATGCCAGAAAACGCAATGGGCGATAAATATAAAATCTTAAGTTTAAAAAAATTGTTAAACAAAGAATTAGGTATGTTTATTTGAAGTCTACTGAAGAGAACCAGAGTTTTCAGATCGAAAAATATTGATTTTCAAGAATTCTATACCGTTTCTACGAAAAGTAGTTTACTTCCTATTTAAAATACATGGAAAACTTCAAGCGCTTTGAGCGACCGCTAAATATTTTTTGATTTCAAAATAAAAAATAGGGTATATTTTTTCGATATAGAACAATCCTAGGGGTGAGAGCATTAAAGTTCCGACTTTACTTATTTTGGACCGCCAATGTTCAACGTCTACCAAATACCCTGTATGATTACAATAACTGTTCCTATTTCATAATTTAATTCTAAATTCGTTTTAAATATGTCCTCTTAATCATTTCTTTTACTAAGCGAAAATATTGTATTACTCAACTCCAAGACAGTCTTGTTTTTAGAGAAAATGATAGTTATCAACTGAAAAAATTTAACTATTATATAGAATTCAAGATCAGTTAGTTTTAGAACTTAGTGGGCCAAATTTTTTGGGAGAATTCGCTTACTTCTAGAGAAATTTACAGCTTATTTGACCGCTGTCAACAATTAATTTGACATAATATTCGTGATTAGCGTGTCTCGAAACTTAATAAGTGGCTTTTAAAAACGATTTTCGTCAACAAGGAAGCGCAATTTTGGCGAGTTACCTCAGGAATTAATGAATTCAAATTCTGAGAGTCAGTTAAAGCAAAATTTGTTTTACATTCAGTTGGACTGCGTTTTTGAAAATAGGACAAGAAGATTTGATGCTTTCAAGAATCTTGAATCAATATTCGGGGTTTTTTTTTTTGAAAATATCTTGAGTTAACCGAAGAAACCTGGCAAAGGCAAGCAGCATCCTTCTGTGAGGCTTACGAACGTATATATCGCACATTTAAAGACCATTCGCGAAGCAAATCTAAACACCGAAGATATGCCCCCCGTTGCAACTCTTAAACAAGTTACACGAATTGAGAGGGATGCATTGTTCCATAATTTGATGAAGGATTCTGGTAGAATACCCACTCAGAAAAAATGTTTGCTCGGTAAAATTTCTTTCCAACGCAACGAACCCTCTTTATTATGAAAAGAAAGTCTTATTTTGAATTTGTTACAAATGCGTTTTCAAACATTTTTTTTACCAGCTATAGTATATGAAGAGGGTGGATTACCCTAGCGTTAGAGTAAAAGGCTATTTTTGAAATAGGACTGCTATATAAACTTTTCTTAGTAAGGTTTCAGGATCGTGCGGTTATTATAAGTTCATTTCTAAACTAATTTGAAAGTGCCTAAAAGCAAAAATTTGATTGTATGGAGATTTTCTATTTTACTCCATATTGTTATCTTTGCTTAGACCAAAGATGGGCAAAGTGGCTCCCTGGAGCCTTTTGCACTTAGGAGCCGGCTTGACACATTTAGGTGGTAGATGAGATGCAACATCAAGAGCCAGCATAAAGGGGGAAGAAGAGCGTATTCAAATTTCTTGTACTCCGACTCTCATTACAAATATGTATATAACGGGTGATTTTTTTGAGGTTAGGATTTTCATGCATTAGTATTTGACAGATCACGTGGGATTTCAGACATGGTGTCAAAGAGAAAGATGCTCAGTATGCTTTGACATTTCATCATGAATAGACTTACTAACGAGCAACGCTTGCAAATCATTGAATTTTATTACCAAAATCAGTGTTCGGTTCGAAATGTGTTTCGCGCGTCCGATTTATGGTCTACATAATCGACCAAGTGAGCAAACAATTAATGCGATTGTGACCAAGTTTCGCACTCAGTTTACTTTATTGGACATTAAACCAACCACACGAATGCGTACAGTGCGTACAGAAGAGAATATTGCGTCTGTTTCTGAGAGTGTTGCTGAAGACCGTGAAATGTCGATTCGTCGCCGTTCGCAGCAATTGGGTTTGCGAAACACATTTCGAACCGAACACTGATTTTGGTAATAAAATTCAATGATTTGCAAGCGTTGCTCGTTAGTAAGTCTATTCATGATGAAATGTCAAAGCATACTGAGCATCTTTCTCTTTGACACCATGTCTGAAATCCCACGTGATCTGTCAAATACTAATGCATGAAAATCCTAACCTCAAAAAAATCACCCGTTATAATGCTTTCGTCCGCTGTGGTGTAGTGGTAAGCAGTGCGCGCTTCCACTCCACAATGCCTGGGTTCAAACCCTGGTCAAAGCAACATCGCAAAAATATAGAAAAAAGGTTTTTTCTTAACAGCGGTCGTCCCTCGGCAGGCAATGGCAAACCTCCGAGTGTATTTCTGCCATGAAAAACAGCTTCTCATAAAAATACAATCGCCGTTCGGAGTCGGCGTAAAACTGTAGGTCCCTCCGCTTTGTGTGACAACATCAAGGCGCACGCCACAAATCGGAGGAGAAGCTCGGCCAAACACTAACATATGTGTAAGCGCCAATCTATTATTATTATATATAATGCTTTTAATGTATTTTGTACACCCCTTCTACCCTGAGAACTGATTAAGCTCTTGCTTAGCACTTGCTGGCTCTTTGGCGGCTTTAAGAGCCAAAAATCTGCCCATCCCTGGTTTAGACTATGCGGCTTTTGAAACTTGGTTTTAATATGTTTTTTAAAAACGAACATCCAATTTAAAAGCGGCTGTTTTCAGCAGTCAGCAAACGGTTCGGAAAATCGCATTCATATGTATATATTTTAAAAAGAATCATGATTTACGCGAGTTATCATAAACAAGTTTTTATAAATGTGTTTATAACTTAAGAGACTTTTTTTAAAAAAAATTATTTTTGATGCAGAAATGCATCTAGATGCTCTACGAATATTTTTGCGTCAAAAAGAAAATTTTTGAAAAAAATGTCGCTTACGTTATTTTGGCGGTTAGGGCTCGATATTTGCAAAAGATATCTGAATTTCAGAAATTTTCTAAAATTCTTCTCATATAAATCCTTATATCTCGTCACACAACGTTTTGTAAAATAAATAAAAAAATACTACTATTACAGGAGGAGTACCGCCCTATCGAATGTGTACAGAAATTTTTAAAACAACTAAAATATGAAACCTTGCTCGATATAAACTGACTTTTTCGTTCAATTATTTGTTTGCAGAATCATTAAGTACTTACTCGTATCAGAAAATCAAATGGTGGCAGCACGGTTTTGAAATTCAATCAGTGATATCTGAGAAGTGATAATTGTTTATCAGCCAAGAAAATTTCCAGAAATTGGGCCACCTGATATTTTCTCGAAATGGTAGAATCAAATCGACAACTGAAATTATATAAGTGCTTAAATGAAAAAAAAAACTATAGTTATCGCAAGCCCGCTAATTAATTATAATTGTTTTGAAGCACTAGGTATTGTTTAAATGTGGACTTATTGAATGACATACATATGTATAGCAAAGTAACTAAATTAAAGTTTACATACATACATATGTATGTATGTAGGGATGTATGTTTCTCAAGGAATTGCCCTTAGATCATTGCTTTGCTCGATGTTTCCATAATTAATATTTATAAACTTCGAGACACACCTGCTTACATACATACTTATGTATCTATTTAGTTATGCAAGTGTGCTGTATATGTTTGTGCATATATTTCTACTAAATATAATTAAGTATAATGCATATCTACATATTAAAATATGTATAAGCAAATGATTCATCCATTTTGATAAAAAACAGCTTTTAAACTAGAGTGCTATTAAATCTTTCTCTGTAACGTAACTGGTGCATAAAATTAAAATTGGAAAATAAGTTAAAATGCATTTAAAAACGGGTAATAAAATTAAACATGTTAATAACTAAAACAAATATATCAAGCACATGCATGTGTATGTACTTATATATGTAAGTACATATGAATGTATCTAGGTTGGTATGCTCCACTTTAATAAAACTCATTTGTCAGCTTT